TAGCTGTGTAGCTGTGTGTGTAGCTGTGTAGCTGTGTGTGTAGCTGTGTGTGTAGCTGTGTGTGTATCTGTGTGTGTAGCTGTGTAGCTGTGTGTGTAGCTGTGTTTGTAGCTGTGTGTGTAGCTGTGTAGCTGTGTGTGTAGCTGTGTGTGTAGCTGTGTGTGTAGCTGTGCCCACCTGTAGCTCGTCCTGCTGTAGCTGGAGTAGCTGAGCTACCACGGCCTCCGTCTCGGCCTCCTTGAGCTCCGTCTCGAGCATCCGGCTGTGTAGCTGTGTGTGTAGCTGTCTAGCTGTGTAGCTGTGTGTGTAGCTGTGTGTGTAGCTGTGTGTGTAGCTGTGTGTGTAGCTGTCTAGCTGTGTAGCTGTGTGTGTAGCTGTGTAGCTGTGTGTGTAGCTGTGTAGCTGTGTAGCTGTGTGTGTAGCTGTGTGTGTAGCTGTGTGTGTAGCTGTGTAGCTGTGTAGCTGTGTGTGTAGCTGTGTATGTAGCTGTGTAGCTGTGTGTGTAGCTGTGTAGCTGTGTGTGTAGCTGTGTGTGTAGCTGTGTGTGTAGCTGTGTAGCTGTGTGTGTAGCTGTGTGTGTAGCTGTGTGTGTAGCTGTGTAGCTGTGTGTGTAGCTGTGTGTGTAGCTGTGTGTGTAGCTGTATGTTTAGCTGTGTAGCTGTGTGTGTAGCTGTCTAGCTGTGTAGCTGTGTGTGTAGCTGTGTGTGTAGCTGTGTGTGTAGCTGTGTGTGTAGCTGTGTGTTTAGCTGTGTAGCTGTGTAGCTGTGTGTGTAGCTGTGTGTGTAGCTGTGTGTGTAGCTGTGTGTGTAGCTGTGTAACTGTGTGTGTAGCTGTGTGTGTAGCTGTGTGTGTAGCTGTGTGTGTAGCTATGTAGCTGTGTGTGTAGCTGTGTGTGTAGCTGTGTGTGTAGCTGTGTAGCTGTGTGTGTAGCTGTGTGTGTAGCTGTGTGTGTAGTTGTGTAGCTGTGTAGCTGTGTGTGTAGCTGTGTGTGTAGCTGTGTGTGTAGCTGTGTGTGTAACTGTGTGTAGCTGTGTGTGTAGCTGTGTGTGTAGCTGTGTAGCTGTGTGTGTAGCTGTGTGTGTAGCTGTGTGTGTGTAGCTGTGTGTGTAGCTGTGTGTGTAGCTGTGTAGCTGTGTGTGTAGCTGTGTGTGTAGCTGTGTGTGTGTGTAGCTGTGTGTGTAGCTGTGTAGTTGTGTGTGTAGCTGTGTGTGTAGCTGTGTAGCTGTGTGTGTAGCTGTGTAGCTGTGTGTGTAGCTGTGTGTGTAGCTGTGTGTGTAGCTGTGTGTGTAGCTAGCTGTGTGTGTAGCTGTGTGTGTAGCTGTGTGTGTAGCTGTGTAGCTGTGTGTGTAGCTGTGTGTGGAGCTGTGTGTGTAGCTGTGTATGTAGCTGTGTAGCTGTGTGTGTAGCTGTGTGTGTAGCTGTGTGTGTAGCTGTGTAGCTGTGTGTGTAGCTGTGTAGCTGTGTGTGTAGCTGTGTAGCTGTGTGTGTAGCTGTCTGTAGCTGTGTATGTAGCTGTGTGTGTAGCTGTGTAGCTGTGTGTGTAGCTGTGTGTGTAGCTGTGTGTGTAGCTGTGTGTGTAGCTAGCTGTGTGTGTAGCTGTGTGTGTAGCTGTGTAGCTGTGTGTGTAGCTGTGTGTAGCTGTGTGTGTAGCTGTGTAGCTGTGTGTGTAGCTGTGTGTGTAGATGTGTGTGTAGCTGTGTGTTTAGCTGTGTAGCTGTGTAGCTGTGTGTGTAGCTGTGTGTGTAGCTGTGTGTGTAGCTGTGTAGCTGTGTAACTGTGTGTGTAGCTGTGTGTGTAGCTGTGTGTGTAGCTGTGTGTGTAGCTGTGTGTAGCTGTGTAGCTGTGTGTGTAGCTGTGTAGCTTTGTGTGTAGCTGTGTGTGTAGCTGTGTGTGTAGCTGTGTAGCTGTGTGTGTAGCTGTGTAGCTGTGTAGCTGTGTGTGTAGCTGTGTGTGTAGCTGTGTGTGTGTGTAGCTGTGTAGCTGTGTGTGTAGCTGTGTGTGTAGCTGTGTGTGTAGCTGTGTGTGTAGCTGTGTGTGTAGCTGTGTGTGTATCTGTGTGTGTAGCTGTGTAGCTGTGTGTGTAGCTGTGTGTGTAGCTGTGTAGCTGTGTGTGTAGCTGTGTGTGTAGCTGTGTAGCTGTGTGTGTAGCTGTGTGTGTAGCTGTGTAGCTGTGTGTGTAGCTGTGTGTGTAGCTGTGTGTGTAGCTGTGTAGCTGTGTGTGTAGCTGTGTGTGTAGCTGTGTGTGTAGCTGTGTAGCTGTGTGTGTAGCTGTGTGTGTAGCTGTGTAGCTGTGTGTGTAGCTGTGTAGCTGTGTGTAGCTGTGTATGTAGCTGTGTGTGTAGCTGTGTAGCTGTGTGTGTAGCTGTGTGTGTAGCTGTGTGTGTAGCTGTGTGTGTAGCTGTGTAGCTGTGTGTGTAGCTGTGTGTGTAGCTGTGTGTGTAGCTGTGTAGCTGTGTGTGTAGCTGTGTAGCTGTGTGTGTAGCTGTGTGTGTAGCTGTGTGTGTAGCTGTGTAGCTGTGTGTGTAGCTGTGTGTGTAGCTGTGTGTGTAGCTGTGTAGCTGTGTGTGTAGCTGTGTGTGTAGCTGTGTGTGTAGCTGTGTGTGTAGCTGTGTAGCTGTGTGTGTAGCTGTGTGTGTAGCTGTGTGTGTAGCTGTGTAGCTGTGTGTGTATAGCTGTGTAGCTGTGTGTGTAGCTGTGTGTGTAGCTGTGTGTGTAGCTGTGTAGCTGTGTGTGTAGCTGTGTGTGTAGCTGTGTGTGTATCTGTGTAGCTGTGTGTGTGTAGCTGTGTGTGTAGCTGTGGGTGTAGCTGTGTAGCTGTGAGTGTAGCTGTGTGTGTAGCTGTGTGTGTAGCTGTGTGTGTAGCTGTGTGTGTAGCTGTGTAGCTGTGTGTGTAGCTGTGTGTGTAGCTGTGTAGCTGTGTGTGTAGCTGTGTAGCTGTGTAGCTGTGTGTAGCTGTGTATGTGGCTGTGTGTGTAGCTGTGTAGCTGTGTGTGTAGCTGTGTGTGTAGCTGTGTGTGTAGCTGTGTGTGTAGCTGTGTGTGTAGCTGTGTAGCTGTGTGTGTAGCTGTGTGTGTAGCTGTGTGTGTAGCTGTGTAGCTGTGTGTGTAGCTGTGTAGCTGTGTGTGTAGCTGTGTGTGTAGCTGTGTGTGTAGCTGTGTAGCTGTGTGTGTAGCTGTGTGTGTAGCTGTGTGTGTAGCTGTGTAGCTGTGTGTGTAGCTGTGTGTGTAGCTGTGTGTGTAGCTGTGTGTGTAGCTGTGTAGCTGTGTGTGTAGCTGTGTGTGTAGCTGTGTGTGTAGCTGTGTAGCTGTGTGTGTAGCTGTGTGTGTAGCTGTGTGTGTAGCTGTGTAGCTGTGTGTGTAGCTGTGTGTGTAGCTGTGTAGCTGTGTGTGTAGCTGTGTGTGTAGCTGTGTAGCTGTGTGTGTAGCTGTGTGTGTAGCTGTGTGTGTAGCTGTCTAGCTGTGTAGCTGTGTGTGTAGCTGTGTGTGTAGCTGTGTGTGTAGCTGTGTGTGTAGCTGTGTGTGTAGCTGTGTGTGTAGCTGTGTAGCTGTGTGTGTAGCTGTGTGTGTAGCTGTGTGTGTAGCTGTGTGTGTAGCTGTGTGTGTAGCTGTGTGTGTAGCTGTGTAGCTGTGTGTGTAGCTGTGTGTGTAGCTGTGTGTGTAGCTGTGTGTGTAGCTGTGTAGCTGTGTGTATAGCTGTGTGTGTAGCTGTGTGTGTAGCTGTGTAGCTGTGTGTGTAGCTGTGTGTGTAGCTGTGTAGCTGTGTAGCTGTGTGTGTAGCTGTGTGTGTAGCTGTGTGTGTAGCTGTGTAGCTGTGTGTGTAGCTGTGTAGCTGTGTGTGTAGCTGTGTGTGTAGCTGTGTGTGTAGCTGTGTAGCTGTGTGTGTAGCTGTGTATGTAGCTGTGGCCACCTGTAGCTCGTCCTGCTGTAGCTGGAGTAGCTGAGCTACCATGGCCTCCGTCTCGGCCTCCTTGAGCTCCGTCTCGAGCCTCCGGCTGTGTAGCTGTGTGTGTAGCTGTGTGTGTAGCTGTGTAGCTGTGTGTGTAGCTGTGTGTGTAGCTGTGTGTGTGGCTGTGTAGCTGTGTGTGTAGCTGTGTGTGTAGCTGTGTGTGTAGCTGTGTGTGTAGCTGTGTGTGTAGCTGTGTAGCTGTGTGTGTAGCTGTGTAGCTGTGTGTGTAGCTGTGTGTGTAGCTGTGCCCACCTGTAGCTCGTCCTGCTGTAGCTGGAGTAGCTGAGCTACCACGGCCTCCGTCTCGGCCTCCTTGAGCTCCGTCTCGAGCCTCCGGCTGTGTAGCTGTGTATGTAGCTGTGTGTGTAGCTGTGTAGCTGTGTGTGTAGCTGTGTGTGTAGCTGTGTGTGTAGCTGTGTAGCTGTGTGTGTAGCTGTGTGTGTAGCTGTGTGTGTAGCTGTGTAGCTGTGTAGCTGTGTGTGTAGCTGTCTAGCTGTGTAGCTGTGTGTGTAGCTGTGTGTGTAGCTGTGTGTGTAGCTGTTTAGCTGTGTGTGTAGCTGTGTGTGTAGCTGTGTGTGTAGCTGTGTAGCTGTGTGTGTAGCTGTGTGTGTAGCTGTGTGTGTAGCTGTGTGTGTAGCTGTGTGTGTAGCTGTGGCCACCTGTAGCTCGTCCTGCTGTAGCTGGAGTAGCTGAGCCACCACGGCCTCCGTCTCGGCCTCCTTGAGCTCCATCTCGAGCCTCCGGCTGTGTAGCTGTGTGTGTAGCTGTGTGTGTAGCTGTGTGTGTAGCTGTGTAGCTGTGTGTGTAGCTGTGTATGTAGCTGTGGCCACCTGTAGCTCGTCCTGCTGTAGCTGGAGTAGCTGAGCTACCACGGCCTCCGTCTCGGCCTCCTTGAGCTCCGTCTCGAGCCTCCGGCTGTGTAGCTGTGTGTGTAGCTGTGTGTAGCTGTGTAGCTGTGTGTGTAGCTGTGTGTGTAGCTGTGTGTGTAGCTGTGTAGCTGTGTGTGTAGCTGTCTAGCTGTGTAGCTGTGTGTGTAGCTGTGTGTGTAGCTGTGTGTGTAGCTGTGTAGCTGTGTAGCTGTGTGTGTAGCTGTGTGTGTAGCTGTGTGTGTAGCTGTGCCCACCTGTAGCTCGTCCTGCTGTAGCTGGAGTAGCTGAGCTACCACGGCCTCCGTCTCGGCCTCCTTGAGCTCCGTCTCGAGCCTCCGGCTCCGGTCTCTCTCCCGCAGCTGAGCCTCGATCACCAGGCGGCTCCTGGTGGGCACACACGTGGGGTGGTCACGTGGGGTGGTCACGTGGGGTGGACACACACGTGGGGACACACGTGGGGTGGTCACGTGTGTGCCCACGTGTCCACCCACGTGTCCACACCACGTGTCCCCACGTGTCCACCCACGTGTCTACCCCACGTGTGTGTGTGTCTACCCCACCCCCCACGTGTCCACCCCCCACGTGTGTCCACCCCACGTGTCCACCCCACGTGTGTCCACCCCCCCCCACCACCCCACGTGTCCACCCCCCACGTGTGTCCACCCCACGTGTCCACCCCACGTGTGTCCACCCCACACGTGTCCACCCCACGTGTCCACCCCACGTGTGTGTCTACCCCCCACGTGTCCACCCACTACGTGTCCACCCCCCACGTGTCCACCCCACGTGTGTGTCTACCCCCCACGTGTCCACCCCCCACGTGTGTGTCCACCCCCCACGTGTGTCCACCCCCCACGTGTCCACCCCCCACGTGTGTGTCCACCCCCCACGTGTGTCCACCCCCCACGTGTCCACCCCACGTGTCCACCCCACGTGTGTGTGTGTCTACCCCCCCCGTGTCCACCCCCCACGTGTGTCCACCCCCCCCGTGTGTCCACCCCACGTGTCCACCCCACGTGTCCACCCCACGTGTCCACCCCCCACGTGTGTCCCCCCCATGTGTCCACCCCACGTGTCCACCCCCCACGTGTCCACCCCACGTGTCCACCCCACGTGTGTGTCCACCCCCCACGTGTCCACCCCCCCACGTGTCCACCCCACGTGTCCACCCCACGTGTGTGTCCACCCCCCACGTGTCCACCCCCCCACGTGTCCACCCCCCACGTGTCCACCCCACGTGTGTGTCCACCCCCCACGTGTCCACCCCCCACGTGTGTCCACCCCCCACGTGTCCACCCCCCACGTGTGTGTGTCCACCCCCCCCCACGTGTCCACCCCACGTGTCCACCCCCCCCTACGTGTCCACCCCACGTGTGTCCACCCCCCACGTGTCCACCACCCCCACCACCACCAGCACCACCCACTCCAAGGCCCCCTTCCTCCGCTCCTCCTCTCGCTGAGCTCCACGGAGGTCCTCCCGACGGCGGAGCTCCTCCACCTGCAGCAGGAGACGGAGCTCCTCCTGCTCCTGTTGCTGTGCCTGCAGCCGCCGCTGGGACAGCTGTGCCTCGCGAACAGCACGCACACTCGCCGCTCCGATCAGCTGTGGGTGACAGAGACAGCTGTAGCTGTAGCTGTGGTAGCTGTAGTAGCTGTGGGTTTGACACACAGCTGTAGCTGTGGTAGCTGTAGGCACAGCAGCAGCAGGAGACGGAGCTCCTCCTGCTCCTGTTGCTGTGCCTGCAGCCGCCGCTGGGACAGCTGTGCCTCGCGAACAGCACGCACACTCGCCGCTCCGATCAGCTGTGGGTGACAGAGACAGCTGTAGCTGTAGCTGTGGTAGCTGTGGTAGCTGTGGGTGACACACAGCTGTAGCTGTGGTAGCTGTAGGCACAGCAGCAGCAGGAGACGGAGCTCCTCCTGCTCCTGTTGCTGTGCCTGCAGCCGCCGCTGGGACAGCTGTGCCTCGCGAACAGCACGCACACTCGCCGCTCCGATCAGCTGTGGGTGACAGAGACAGCTGTAGCTGTAGCTGTGGTAGCTGTGGTAGCTGTGGGTGACACACAGCTGTAGCTGTGGTAGCTGTAGGCACAGCTGCAGCAGGAGACGGAGCTCCTCCTGCTCCTGTTGCTGTGCCTGCAGCCGCCGCTGGGACAGCTGTGCCTCGCGAACAGCACGCACACTCGCCGCTCCGATCAGCTGTGGGTGACAGAGACAGCTGTAGCTGTAGCTGTGGTAGCTGTGGTAGCTGTGGCTGACACACAGCTGTAGCTGTAGCTGTGGTAGCTGTGGTAGCTGTAGTAGCTGTGGGTGACACACACAGCTGTAGCTGTAGCTGTGGTAGCTGTGGTAGCTGTGGTAGCTGTGGGTGACACACAGCTGTAGCTGCAGCTGTGGGTGAGACACAAAGCTGTAGCTGCTGTAGCTGTGGTAGCTGTGGTAGCTGTAGGCACAGCAGCAGCAGGAGACGGAGCTCCTCCTGCTCCTGTTGCTGTGCCTGCAGCCGCCGCTGGGACAGCTGTGGGTGAGACACACAGCTGTAGCTGTAGCTGTGGGTGACACACACAGCTGTAGCTGTAGCTGTGGTAGCTGTAGTAGCTGTGGGTTTGACACACAGCTGTAGCTGTGGTAGCTGTGGTAGCTATGGTAGCTGTAGGCACAGCTGCAGCTGGAGACGGAGCTCCTCCTGCTCCTGTTGCTGTGCCTGCAGCCGCCGCTGGGACAGCTGTGGGTGAGACACACAGCTGTAGCTGTAGCTGTGGGTGAGACACACAGCTGTAGCTGTAGCTGTGGTAGCTGTGGTAGCTGTAGTAGCTGTAGCTGTGCCTCGCAAACAGCACGACCACACTCGCCGCTCCAATCAGCTGTGGGTGAGACACACAGCTGTAGCTGTAGCTGTAGTAGCTGTGGTAGCTGTGGTAGCTGTGGGTGAGACACACAGCTGTAGCTGTGGTAGGTGTAGCTGTGGTAGCTGTGGTAGCTGTGGGTGACACACACAGCTGTAGCTGCTGTAGCTGTGGTAGCTGTGGTAGCTGTGGTAGCTGTGGGTGACACACACAGCTGTAGCTGCTGTAGCTGTGGTAGCTGTGGTAGCTGTGGGTGACACACAGACAGCTGTAGCTGTGGTAGGTGTAGCTGTGGTAGCTGTAGTAGCTGTGGGTGACACACACAGCTGTAGCTGTAGCTGTAGTAGCTGTGGTAGCTGTGGGTGACACACACAGCTGTAGCTGTAGCTGTGGGTTACACAGACAGCTGTAGCTGTAGCTGTGGTAGCTGTGGTAGCTGTAGTAGCTGTGGGTGACACACACAGCTGTAGCTGTAGCTGTAGTAGCTGTGGTAGCTGTGGTAGCTGTGGGTGACACACACAGCTGTAGCTGTAGCTGTGGGTGACACAGACAGCTGTAGCTGTAGCTGTGGTAGCTGTGGTAGCTGTGGTAGCTGTGGGTGACACACACAGCTGTAGCTGTGGTAGGTGTAGCTGTGGTAGCTGTGGTAGCTGTAGTAGCTGTGGGTGACACACACAGCTGTAGCTGTAGCTGTAGTAGCTGTGGTAGCTGTGGTAGCTGTGGGTGACACACACAGCTGTAGCTGTGGTAGGTGTAGCTGTGGTAGCTGTGGTAGCTGTGGCTGACACACAGCTGTAGCTGTAGCTGTGGTAGCTGTGGTAGCTGTAGGCACAGCAGCAGCAGGAGACGGAGCTCCTCCTGCTGCTGTTGCTGTGCCTGCAGCCGCCACTGGGACAGCTGTGGGTGAGACACACAGCTGTAGCTGTAGCTGTGGGTGACACACACAGCTGTAGCTGTAGCTGCTGTAGCTGTGGTAGCTGTAGCAGCTGTAGTAGCTGTGGCTGTGCCTCGCAAACAGCACGCACGCTCGCCGCTCCAATCAGCTGTGGGTGACACAGACAGCTGTAGCTGTAGCTGTGGTAGCTGTGGTAGCTGTGGGTGACACACACAGCTGTAGCAGCTGTAGCTGTGGTAGCTGTAGCAGCTGTAGCTGTAGCAGATATAGTAGCTGTAGTAGCTGTAGCAGCTGTAGCTGTAGCAGCTGTAGTAGCTGTATCTGCTGTAGCTGTAGCAGCTGTAGCTGTAGCAGCTGTAGTAGCTGTAGTAGCTGTAGCAGCTGTAGCTGTAGCAGCTATAGTAGCTGTAGCAGCTGTAGTAGCTGTAGCTGCTGTAGCTGTAGCTGTAGCAGCTGTAGCAGCTGTAGTAGCTGTAGCTGTAGCAGCTGTAGCAGCTATAGTAGCTGTAGTAGCTGTAGCTGTAGCAGCTGTAGCAGCTGTAGCAGCTGTAGTAGCTGTAGTAGCTGTAGTAGCTGTAGCAGCTGTAGCTGTAGTAGCTGTAGCTACAGTAGCTGTAGCAGCTGTAGTAGCTGTAGCTGTAGCAGCTGTAGCAGCTGTAGTAGCTGTAGCTGTAGCAGCTGTAGCAGCTGTAGCAGCTGTAGCTGTAGCAGCTGTAGCAGCTGTAGTAGCTGTAGCAGCTGTAGCTGTAGTAGCTGTAGCTGTAGCAGCTGTAGCTGTAGCAGCTGTAGCAGCTGTAGTAGCTGTAGTAGCTGTAGCAGCTGTAGCTGTAGTAGCTGTAGTAGCTGTAGTAGCTGTATCTGCAGTAGCTGTAGCAGCTGTAGTAGCTGTAGCTGTAGCAGCTGTAGCAGCTGTAGTAGCTGTAGTAGCTGTAGCAGCTGTAGTAGCTGTAGCTGTAGTAGCTCTAGTAGCTGTAGTAGCTGTAGCAGCTGTAGCTGTAGTAGCTGTAGCTGTAGTAGCTGTAGTAGCTGTAGCTGTACTAGCTGTAGTAGCTGTAGTAGCTGTAGCTGTAGTAGCTGTAGCTGTAGTAGATGTAGCAGCTGTAGCAGCTGTAGCTGTAGCAGCTGTAGTAGCTGTAGCAGCTGTAGTAGCTGTAGCAGCTGTAGCTGTGGTAGCTGTAGCAGCTGCAGTAGCTGTAGTAGCTTTAGCAGCTGTAGCTGTAGCAGCTGTAGCAGCTGTAGCAGCTGTAGTAGCTGTAGCAGCTGTAGTAGCTGTAGCTGTAGCAGCTGTAGCTGTAGTAGCTGTAGCAGCTGTAGTAGCTGTAGCAGGTGTAATAGCTGTAGTAGCTGTAGCAGCTGTAGCTGTAGCAGCTGTAGTAGCTGTAGCTGTAGTAGCCGTAGTAGCTGTAGTATCTGTAGCAGCTGTAGCAGCTGTAGCAGCTGTAGTAGCTGTAGCTGTAGCAGCTGTAGCAGCTGTAGTAGCTGTAGCTGTAGTAGCTGTAGTAGCTGTAGCTGTAGCAGCTGTGGTAGCTGTGGCAGCTGTAGTAGCTGTAGCAGCTGTAGCTGTAGCAGCTGTAGCTGTACTAGCTGTAGTAGCTGTAGCTGTAGCAGCTGTAGTAGCTGTAGCTGTAGTAGCTGTAGTAGCTGTAGCAGCTGTAGCTGTAGCAGCTGTAGTAGCTGTAGCTGTAGTAGCTGTAGTAGCTGTAGTAGCTGTAGCAGCTGTAGCTGTAGCAGCTGTAGTAGTTGTAGCAGCTGTAGCTGTAGTAGCTGTAGTAGCTGTAGTAGCTGTAGCTGTAGCAGCTGTAGCTGTAGTAGCTGTAGTAACTGTAGATGTAGCAGCTATAGCTGTAGTAGCTGTTGCAGCTGTAGTAGCTGTAGTAGCTGTGGTAGCTATAGCAGCTGTAGCTGTAGTAGCTGTAGCAGCTGTAGCAGCTGTAGCTGTAGCAGCTGTAGTAGCTGTTGCAGCTGTAGTAGCTGTAGCTGTAGTAGCTGTAGCAGCTGTAGCAGCTGTAGATGTAGCAGCTGTTGTAGCTGTGGTAGCCATAGCAGCTGTAGCAGCTGTAGCAGCTGTAGTAGCTGTGGTAGCTGTAGCTGTAGTAGCTGTAGCTGTAGTAGATGTAGCAGCTGTAGTAGCTTTAGTAGCTGTAGTAGCTGTAGTAGCTGTAGCTGTAGCAGCTGTAGCAGCTGTAGCTGTAGCAGCTGTAGCAGCTGTAGTAGCTGTAGCAGCTGTAGCTGTAGTAGCTGTAGCTGTAGCAGCTGTAGCTGTAGCAGCTGTAGCAGCTGTAGTAGCTGTAGTAGCTGTAGCAGCTGTAGCTGTAGTAGCTGCAGTAGCTGTAGTAGCTGTATCTGCAGTAGCTGTAGCAGCTGTAGTAGCTGTAGCTGTAGCAGCTGTAGCAGCTGTAGTAGCTGTAGTAGCTGTAGCAGCTGTAGTAGCTGTAGCTGTAGTAGCTCTAGTAGCTGTAGTAGCTGTAGCAGCTGTAGCTGTAGTAGCTGTAGCTGTAGTAGCTGTAGTAGCTGTAGCTGTACTAGCTGTAGTAGCTGTAGTAGCTGTAGCTGTAGTAGCTGTAGCTGTAGTAGATGTAGCAGCTGTAGCAGCTGTAGCTGTAGCAGCTGTAGTAGCTGTAGCAGCTGTAGTAGCTGTAGCAGCTGTAGCTGTGGTAGCTGTAGCAGCTGCAGTAGCTGTAGTAGCTTTAGCAGCTGTAGCTGTAGCAGCTGTAGCAGCTGTAGCAGCTGTAGTAGCTGTAGCAGCTGTAGTAGCTGTAGCTGTAGCAGCTGTAGCTGTAGTAGCTGTAGCAGCTGTAGTAGCTGTAGCAGGTGTAATAGCTGTAGTAGCTGTAGCAGCTGTAGCTGTAGCAGCTGTAGTAGCTGTAGCTGTAGTAGCCGTAGTAGCTGTAGTATCTGTAGCAGCTGTAGCAGCTGTAGCAGCTGTAGTAGCTGTAGCTGTAGCAGCTGTAGCAGCTGTAGTAGCTGTAGCTGTAGTAGCTGTAGTAGCTGTAGCTGTAGCAGCTGTAGTAGCTGTAGCAGCTGTAGTAGCTGTAGCAGCTGTAGCTGTAGCAGCTGTAGCTGTACTAGCTGTAGTAGCTGTAGCTGTAGCAGCTGTAGTAGCTGTAGCTGTAGTAGCTGTAGTAGCTGTAGCAGCTGTAGCTGTAGCAGCTGTAGTAGCTGTAGCTGTAGTAGCTGTAGTAGCTGTAGTAGCTGTAGCAGCTGTAGCTGTAGCAGCTGTAGTAGTTGTAGCAGCTGTAGCTGTAGTAGCTGTAGTAGCTGTAGTAGCTGTAGCTGTAGCAGCTGTAGCTGTAGTAGCTGTAGTAACTGTAGATGTAGCAGCTATAGCTGTAGTAGCTGTAGTAGCTGTGGTAGCTGTAGTAGCTGTGGTAGCTATAGCAGCTGTAGCTGTAGTAGCTGTAGTAGCTGTAGCAGCTGTAGCTGTAGCAGCTGTAGTAGCTGTTGCAGCTGTAGTAGCT